ACCAAATTTGTTGGTTAATCTCTTTTTGTTCTTTTCTGTTTCATTTGTATTCTTTTTCTGTTGTGGTTGAAATTGAAAGTTTTCTGAGTTGATTTCGATTGATAAAGCGAAAGCGGCACTCACTTTGCGATCGTGTGCTTTTTTTAGGAACAAATCTGTGACTTCCTTGGAATGGAGTGGACTAAACGCGAGCGTTCTCGCCTTGTACCCATACCGCTGAACGACATTTTCAAAGTTGATTTGACACAGTTGAAGATAGAGTGAGAAAATTGGTCGTATGCGAGTTTTTAACCGTGAAAATCCCGCTTTTTTAGTGAAAAAGCAGCTCAAGCAAACAGGAAACCAAGCAGCGATGGAGTGGTTCGCAAGAAAAAGTTGTAAGTTTAAAGAGTTGCTCGAGAAGAATCAATTTCGATATTGGCTTAATGTACATGTACATGTAAACTTGCGAAAAGCTTTGCTTTCACATATTTATTTTTTGAGTCTGGTTGCCATGCGATTCAATTCTTGACATTAGTTTGGCAGTACCGATTTCAGATAGTAGCTTTTAGTATATAACCACAACATCCCCGCCATACGCTGAGCATTACTTTGTTGGCGTGCAATTTAGGCATTGATATCGGTTTTCCTTGTTCACCTAGACCGAACTATGGCGCTTCCGGTAATGATGAGTATACCACCCACTTCTCATTGCAGTAATCAAGTTCTTGAGCCATTCGAAGTTTTTATTGTAGCTTAGAAATTAGTACACGCTATAACATGAAGTCCAAGCAGTCGGAGATCATTTTTTAGTTTTATAATTGATGGGACTACCAATAAAATCGAATAAGCGTCGAATAGTAGAACCTTCTTAGCGGCACTAATCACACGTTTTTGCAAAATAAGTCATGAAGCTATTGGAAATGTGTAGCAATTTCTTATAAATAAATTGTCTCGCTTTTAAGGTCTGGAACTCCTCTACAATCTCCAATTCCTCGAGAGACATCGCCGTCGCCACTTCCAATTTCGCAGCTGGATAGCGTCCGCTCCAATTTCCAGAGCCTTCTGAAGAAGTAACTTTGAAGTGATATTTGCATTTGAGGCCCTTTTTCGAAAATCTTTTTATAGAGCTGGTACTGAGAAGTCAGCAAAATGGCCAGAGGAACGGCAATTACTTTCAGGTTCGTTCAAAGAACCTCGGCTGCCAGTTAAACCAGGTAACTTTTGTCATTACTTTGTTTTTTTTTTGCTGAAGACAGAAGAACTAATTTTGTTTTCAGTATCTGAAATGGCCTCACCAGTACCTCGAACCGACTCACCGAGTCTTTTGGATCCGGCATCCATTTCCTTAATTTAGGTGGCCGTCAATACCTCAAAAAAGTTGTTGTTTGTAATCCTTTTCTTACTTTTCTTCGATAAGTCTGAAAATTGTTCTTTTGAAAAAGATGTTAAGCTACTCATCAGAGTGGTGATGACTATCCATCGTGTGTATATGGTAAAGCGGGGCGAGTGCTACCGTGTATTATTTTGGTTTTAGCTACATCGTATACATAGCTTTGTCTTCCCCGGTAATGTATTTTTTT